GGCCATTTTGTTGTACTGTTTCCATACTGCAGGTGTACTTCACATATTTGCGCTATATAACCTTTTGGGCCCTGGAACATCATTTTATAGAAAATCTAAAATTAATATTAAAGAAAACCAAATTATGGAATAGACTGGTTTCATAATTGGCCAATGATCATTTCACATAGACTGTATGCCTTTTACTTTACAAACGATGATTTTCCGTTATAACTATAAATCAAATGATGTTTTTAATTCACCCAAATTATAAAATTTAAATAACAGCTTTAAAAAATTCGAAATTGAAATGGATAGTCTAGGGAACATACTGTATTAATGTACTCTACTGCGTATAATTTGTGAACATTTACATGATTTGTACACTTTGAACTCCCTTCCAGGCTGAAAGGGACTGACAAAATTCATACCGAAGGATTGGCTAAATTCCACTCTAATATATTCTATTCTCTTTGATTCTTACTACTTGAGCCCTCTTAACCCCCTACCTCTATGACTTTCTTCAAGCCAGAGACCGTTCCTTCAATAAACTTCATTGGTCAACAACTTCAAACTTGACGTCTCCTATATTGGTTGTCAAGTGTACGGAGAAATTATCTATCTAACAGATAGACATCTAGCGGCCAACATATCGTCCCCCAAAGTACGTGAACTACTCGGGTTTAACGAATGGGGTTAGGCAGTTTTGTGAATATCAATATTTTTGTAATGAAATATTATTTTCTACACAAATGTTAAGACCCCAAAAAGGAAACTCGGGAGTTTCGTTCAACGATACTCTATTAAATTTCGGGCTTGGGGTCCATGTAATTCCATTTCTGATTCTCAATGAGATCAGGGTTGAAATGAAAATACACTTTCTGTGTCAGTGTGAACTTAGGAAAGTTTTTTTTTGTGTACGTGAACTTCACTTCAAAAATATGTACTACATTTGGGGTGTATATATACATAAAAGATGTATGTATATCAGTTCTCAATATAAGAAACAAATTATGAAAGAGGAACACTAAAATGCATCTTTTCTTGCTTAGAAACACAGCCCAGAGAGAACCGGTTTAAATATGGACTCGGAGAATGCGCAACAGCAATTAACTTTCCTGTATTTACTACCTTGCTTCAACCCTCCTCCTAGACCCCCCCTCCCCCTCTCTATAACCTAAACCCTAAATTTGTTGTATTATCCAACCCTTGTCCAGTGTAAAAGTACAAAAGACTTGATTTGCTGTCTATTGTAGAACTGGCCCCCGGCCGACACATTTTCTTTTTTATATATCTTTAATTTCACGTTCCAGAGCCTTTTTATTTCATTTGTATTTTAACGGTCTGGAAAATTTCCCAGCAAAAGAAACATGTTGGAAACATGAACCAAGAATATCCCACTTCCGGTTCTTTAAAATTATAAAATTTAAAATTTCAGATTTGTTATATCCTTTCCTCTTCTCTTTGATGTTTATGTCATGCCGTCACTATTCCCAAGTCGTATTCCATATTACTTCTTATGATAGCATACGGAAGTTTGGTTAAGCATTACTTGGGAACGTTTACATATTTTGGGAAGCCGTTAATTGAAAAATTTGGGAAGTTGCAATAGAAAAATTTGGGAAGTTGCAATAGAAAAATTTGTGGGAAGTTGCAATAGAAAAATTTGGGAAGTTGCAATAGAAAAATCTGGGAAGTTGAAATAGAAAAATTTGGATCTTTACGACAGTATTCTTCGGAAAATTTGGGAAGCTGTTACTTGGCAAATTTGGATATCTGCTATTTAGAAAATTTTGGATATCTGCTACTCAGAAAATTTTGGATATCTGCTACTTTGAAAATTTTGGATATCTGCAACTTAGAAAATGTTGGATATCTGCTACTTATATAATTTATAAAGCTGATACTTGGCACAGGAATTGAGTCATTTGCACAAACTCTGAGTTTTTAATCTCTATATCTTTGCAATCCAATAGCATAGACCTTAGATATTTCAAACAAAAAATCTAAGTTTGTAATGTCAAAAGTTTACAACATATGGCTATAAAGATATTAGTATTTGAAAATTTGAGTTTTTCTGGCAAGAAAAAATCCGTTTGGTAAGTACATCTAAGAGATAAAGTTACTTCACAAAATTGTTTCCGTTTCGTTTTCCCCCCCCCCCCCCCCCCCAGCAAAACTAGTTGCACCTCTCTTGCTCTCTACTATTTCCCCTTTAAATTATATTTGAAGTAATTAACAAATGTTACAATGCCATTAACCACAATTAACTGTTTTTGCTAATTATCTTAACAATAAAAAAGAAACACAACTGAAACATCTGGAAATTTATTTATGATTTAAAGGGACTGTGGACGTTATTTATTTTGGCTCTGTTTAAAGAAGATTTACAACGGTACCATTTATGCCGTGCATATGAGTAAAAATTATTGGATTTAAATTTTTTTTTCTAACTAAAAATTTGAATTTATCGTTCTTATCGTCCCTAAGACAATACTAAAATGAACAAGAATGTCTTCGTCATTTTGCGTAGATAAATATTTAAAGTGTAAACTTTGCACTTTAAATATAGAAAATCTTTAAATTACGTCGACAGTACCTTTAATATTTGTTTACATTAACTTCACCGCAATCATAAGAAAGTACTTTAGATTGATAATTATCAATAATATATTGTATTTACTTCCTTACACTCAATAATTAGATTTATTAAATGATATGTAATGACGGGTCTATAAACATACTTACATACATTTATAATATATAATAGATATTCATCAACATAGGTCCCCTTCCAGGCATTTATTAGATAATATGCATTTCTCCCATCCACACCCCCACTATAGTTTCAGTAGAAGTAAATATTTCCATTTACTGATAGCGCCGATTTAAGGTTTCGTATCTCTAATTGGATAATGAGAGACATAGAAGGATAGATTACCGCCATATTATTTCTATTGGTTCAGAATAGACAACCAACACATGACTGAACCCTGATTGGATCAGGTGCTAATCAGCCAAACTTCACTTATAGTTTTTGACGGATAATGTTATTTTTTAGAGTTGTATAATGGATAGTGTTTTAGTTTTTTTTTCATAAGATCTCACTTGAAACTCTAATTTTTATATTTCTATATATTTTCAACCTAATTATTGATAATGCGAACCTTATATATTTTATACTTTTACTATATGATCAAGTATCTATCATCAAGTTAAAAAATATAAACTATTTCTTCTCATTTTGAGCTAATTGTATTTTTACCAAATATATTGGATCTGATAAATGTAAACTGAAAATTTGAGAATAACTTTAAAAAATTGTAAAAATGCCATTTTCTTTGGCCGGCAAATCTGCATCCATTACTCTTGAAATTGCTATTTCCTGAAACCATTTCCTTTGTTGAATAAGCTCATTAGAATGAAAACAATTGTATGCAGTATCAAATACCCAGAGATTAACCAGATAGAATCACAACTGTTTCTCTTGTTTACAAAACAAGTGTACTGCAGTTTCTGGTAGGATTATAAAACAACCTCAACCTGAGGAGCACTATCTAAACAAAGATATGTGGGTTGCTTTACCACTTTTACCGGGTTTGCCAAGTAAATTTCTGTTTTTACAATCCCTAGAGTGGGGTGAAGGAGGTATGAACTATCAAACTTTAAGAAGAATGGTTAACTGTAGGATGTATTGTACATAGCATGCTACAAAGTGTAATGATAGTTTACAGGTCTGATTTCTTGGAAAAAAGAAACTGAGATTCTAACAACTATTGAAGTAATGCATCAACGACCAGGTCGATTCTAACAACTATTGAAGTAATGCATCAACGACCAGGTCGATTCTAACAACTATTGAAGTAATGCATCAACGACCAGGTCGATTCTAACAACTATTGAAGTAACGCATCAACGACCAGGTCGATTTTGGAGTGCCGAAAGCCGTGACCTTTGGGTTTAGCTCACCAACTCAAATATACCTCATGGTAGCTTTTTAAAAAAATATGTTTTGTTTAAAAGGAGAAATTGGCAAAATCGATCGATTTTTGCATATTTTGGTTCGCAGTTGTCGACCTAAAACAAGAACGCTCTTGCTTGTCCCATCTATATGATCTTTGTTATAAACACACATCAGAGACAATAGAACAACAAATTAAACCATTACAAGGTTCAGTCAAGAATATTAAGAGTCACATCTAATCAATAATTGAACTATAAATATATATATTTATATTAGTTTTGCAGATGATAGAATTAAATAGAAGTTATCACTTTTTAAATTTTCTCGATTCTTTGTGCAAAAAGTTATTGCCTTCTTAACAAAAACATTTGAATATGATGATTCTATCTTATTTTGAGGATAGGGGTTAGGGGAGGGAGGGGCAAAAATTTGAATGGATTTTTTCATAGATTGAAATATCTATAGTCTACGGTATTGGGTTGCAAAAATATAGGAATTAGAAAATTTGAGTTTGTGGCAAAGACTCAAATCCTTTACCGCGCACGAGAGTCGAGGAAGGGCAAAAATATACTCTCATATAAGTGCCTGTACTAAGTACAATGTGGTTTTAAACGCCTAATATGGATCCATTAGGTCTGAAATGCTGTAGGGTCGGGTTACGCCCATCTTGTAAGATTAAAAATCTTCCCATCAAAATTCCAGTGGTCCAAAACCAATCATATTAATGTTGTCAGATTTGAATAAAGTAGAAAAATAAAATCCTTAAAAAATAATATGCCCATAAGAATTCTTATTTTCTAATTCCGATCTTTTCAAACTGATGGTAAAAGACAGAGTATTGAACTTTTTTCCCTTTCATATTCCACATATTTATGGGTCCCACTGTATAGTGTAATAAAAACTGGGGAAAAGTTCCACCTTCATGCCAGCTAAAGCGCATCCACCCAAAAACTATGAAATCAAATATAATGGTAAATATTCAAACTAACCCAGATGCAGACTATACAAAGGAGGGTTTAATGATATATAGAGTTCTGTATAGAGTTTAAGACTAATTATGCAAGTAAAAAAACTTTACATTACTTAGAATGTTTTCCTTGAATTTAGTTGTAAAAAATAACGTAATTGTGCATAGTGCAATGTGCATTGTACCTTGCAAAGTTCAACTAATATACATTAAACTCTAAACATCATTTAGTCTGAATTTTCTTTGAATTTCTTTCCCCTAACGATTAGTATTTTAAGTTTTTATAATGGATTTGAAAATTCGAATTAAAAAAGAATGTATCACGTATCCTTTAGCTGTCCCAGTTCCCAATATATATCTGGTTCTGGCTTTAATAAAATTTAGTTCCTCGCATGTCTTTCCAAAACAATGAATGAAGCACTGGAAAAAAAACTAAAAATAAGTCTGGCATACAAATTAAACCTGTCACTGCAATTTTGAACAAATTAACCCTGTCACTGCAATTTTGAACAAATTAAACCTGTCACTGCAATTTTGAACAAATTTTGAACAAATTAAACCTGTCACTGCAATTTTGAACAAATTTTATTAAACGTCTGACCGTTAACTATTTTGGCATTATTTTCGTGGCATACTGCATTCTGTCCAGATTTTAAAATTTTAAATTTTAAAAATTCATTTTCGGCCAAACTAAATCTAAATTTTGTCGTTCATAACTCCCTTCCGGCCTCGGTCTACACTACAAAACTATTCCTTTTTTATCCGTAATTTTTTTTTACAAATTCTTCTTTTAAGATGTTTTATTTTTCTTGGTCAACCTCTTAAACAAATCTAATTTCTTAGGAACAATCCTTTTACTTGTTCTATTTTACCAAACATTTTATTTTGCATGTTTTACTTTTCACGAACCCCCATTAAATATTTATATTTATTTAGCGAAACCCTTGGAATGTATATCTCGGAGACTGTGCTATAGTAGACAGCTACTTAAGAACCAGGTATTTAAAAAGATAAAATAAATGATCGAATTCTGGCACTTTTTGAAGAGCTAAGCTAAACAAAGTATGTAGATCAAAGAGGGGGGGCAGGGGATTTAGTATGTTAAAGCATCTAAATAATGCAAATTTTCCGCGAAACTTTGCATAATATTATTCTAGACAAACAGACATAAAAGTACGTAATTTGCATATTGTATTACTATCTTTTAAAGAGGAAAGTACAGGGAATATACACCAGGAATCAATTGTGCTTGTTTACAAACAAATGCACTGCAATATGGACAAAACTCAGACTACGTAGATTTTATTTTAATCATATTCTTCCTCCTGCGTGACATACAACTTTTATAACCAAGGGGGTTCTTCTTTCATATTCCTGGCATACAGCGAGAAGCAGAATACTTTAGAAGACGACCTTAAAGTAAAAATCATCCGTTTTTGATGTTTCAAAGCAAATATTAGAACAGTAACTCACTAAATCACTTACTAAGTGAAACGTGTCTGTTTACTCTGCACAACGTTCATTGTACTATAGGGTATAACAGTCGTCTTCCTTAATTTCCATAGTTGTATGTAAAATGTCTAGAAAATATTTATTATAAATATAATAAAACATCTTTGGATTAATCGATCCCACCTGACCTCCTTGCGATGTTTCTTTAGTTTTCGTTAAAGTCTCTGATTTCTAAGAAAAATTGTATTCTTCTTTTTTGTTTGAAAACATCTTTGTACAGTGAGAACCAACAACTGTAGAAAAGGCAGAGTTAATTGTACTTGTTGTTACAAACCAAATTGATTTACTAGTAACATTTTTAATCACTTCATAAGTAAAATAGGTTTTTTTTACACCACACAAATTTCTATTCCAGAGTTTGTTGGTTCTCACCGTACAATAAAATCAATTTTGAATTTGGTACTGAAAAAAAAATTTGATCTTATCATATTTGTTTTTGTGTTCAGACCTGTTTGTAACTTACGCTGGTTTCCTCTACATTTTATCAACATCTTCCTTAGATCTGTCGGACAGGTATAGATAGATAGATAGATAGATAGATAGATAGATAAAAATAAAAATAATAATAGCAATAAAATTTCTTATTTTCGTGATACAATAAGTTTTTAATTCCTATATTTTAGTAAAACCCAATTATCTTGTAAAAATATATTTTCTAGTTACATATGTTCCTTTACTATATACCGATAATTTGCCAGCTTCACGTGTACACCATTATATACATTACATATCAATATACTTTTGTATAAGTAATATTTCTTTTTGTAATAATTTAATTTTTGTACATTTCAAAATATGTATACAGTTCTTTACAAATCTTTACATTTCTCTCTAGATTTGCTGTTTTTACAGAATTTTCTCATTTTTTTTTTGGAGTTATCATTAATTCTTACTGGCCATACAAGTAGGGCCATGTGAGGTCCCAATAAACATTTGGGCACAGCCGTTTAGACAGTTATTTGAAAAGTAATACTAGTATTTATTTTCAACATACAAAATATCTGAAAATAATGTTGATGGTTTAGCTAAGAACAGTAAAAGGATCTTCAAGGCAAGGCAATTGAACATACTTATATTTCTGTAGCAAATACTGTAATTAATTGGGATTTTTACTTAATTTAAAAATAAAGATAGTAAGTACACTTTTTTTAACAAAATATGTGCAAGTTGCACTTACAGTGATAACCAGAAAACTCTGAACTAGTAAGGCGACTTGTAGAACTAGACTCAAGTTGAAACTTTAAAAAGTCCAATGAGCATGATACACAGCAAAAGTGCAGTGTAAACAGACCCACTTCACTAACTATTTGCTTTGTAACAACATCAAGTACACTAAAGTATTGATATTATGTCGTCTCCTATTCCGTTGTTTTCTGGTTATCACTGTACGTTTGGAAACAAGTGATAAAATTACAAATCTAAACTTTAATCTAAAATCTAAAGATTTACCCATTATCTTCTTTTTTACCATTAACCTACCATGTATACACAATAAACATAACAGAACCCCCTCTACTAACATTCCTTGCAAAAAGTTGTATAACGCTTTGCATAAATTCCATGAAGAATTGAAAATTATGCCAAAAACTGTTGAATTTATTCAAAACGTCTGAAAATGGTAGGATATAAAATTTTAAGACTAGCTCTGAACGGTTTTAAAATACACAAATACCATTTTAAACCGACATCACTCACAGAGGTCCAGACTACCATGTTAAGTATAAGAAATGTTACAACACCTTGCACGGTCTATGGTTTTACCTCATGTATTCACTTAAACTTTTATATAGCCCCAGATAAGGACATATTAGAACTATGAGCGTTTTTTTGCTTTAGTTTAGTGGCTGCATGGCGGATGCACACAATTTTTATTTTTTTGCGAAAGAGCAACCTTTGTATCTCTGTGCACCCTGTCGTATACGTAAACGTTTCACAAAAACATTGCATACAAAATAGATTTTTTTCAAATAATGAAATTTTTTTTTTTTCACAAATGATCAGTCTGGCATACAAATTAAACCTGTCACTGCAATTTTGAACAAATTAACCCTGTCACTGCAATTTTGAACAAATTAACCCTGTCACTGCAATTTTGAACAAATTAAACCTGTCACTGCAATTTTGAACAAATTTTGAACAAATTAATAGATAGATAGATAGATAGATAGATAGATAGATAGATAGATATATAGATAGATAGAAGATTATACCGGGTTACCCACAAAGTATAACATTTTTGTGACAACATTAAAACCTTTTAAATATGACAATCTGAGGGTTAAATCTGGAAATTTGTAGTTTATTAAGTTTTTCAAATGTATAATAAATGATCTGGCAAGAAATAAAACAAGGTTTGTCATTTACATCTTGTCATCTGGTAAAATTATTCGTAAACAACCACAGATTTTAAAGTTAAAATAATGTATTTAGTATTGAAACAAAGAAAAATACTTTTCAACCCTTTTTTCCCATTTAAAAGATGTAAAGGAAACTGCAGGGTAAACCAGGAATTTGAGAAAAAAGACTGCATAAATTACGTTCAGTCGTCTATGAATAGTGAAGACTCATTCTTTTGTAGGCAACCCTGAATATATATATATAACTACATACATTAAACAAAACTATTTTAAAATCTGTACATTCTGCTCCTCCTTGGTCTATTCAGCTGGAGAAATTACATTTATTTGTTCCAACAAGCCTTATTCTTATCAATTTATCAAATCATCATTTTTAATGTATTTTTAATGTATTTTTAATGTATTTTTACAAATTTTCTTGAACAACTTTTAAATGGGATAAAAGGTTTAAACATATTTTTTTCTTTTAAGACTAAAAACTTTGAAATCTGTGCTTTTTATGAATAATTTAACCAACTGACAAGATATAAATGACAACCTTTAAACTTTATCTTTCAAATGCTTAAAAGATATGATAAGATAAGTAGATACATTTCTTTATGTTGGCATCCTC